AATGCTCCATTGAGTCACAAGAGGCTTTTCTCAGGAGTCCTGAATTGTCTTCAGACAATGCACCCTTCAAAAGCACGGTTGGCTATGTACGGTGCAAAAGAAGTTCAGACAGACTGAATGTCGCTGTGATCAGTTAGTTGTCACAACCAGACTAAAACTACGCTCGTCAGTCAACAAATGACCCTGAATGAGTCCAATCTTGTCATAGATGTAAAGTTAAGCAGCTTTGAGCCCAGACTTGGATGTGACCATGTGCGAAATAAATTATAAACAGGCAGTGGGGCCGTGCAGCAAAATCCACTGCTCTTCTCTGAACTAACCCCTCCACCTTCACAAAACCCGAAATGACCAGTGCGGTGAAGTATGTTCAATTATGGTGCGAGTTATAACCCTCACACGGCGAATGGATTGACCAACGGGCTTTGCACGTACAGAATCCATACGCCATTGACACACACATTAAGCCGCCGAACACGGCTCTCTCCACAAAGAGAGAACAATCTTCCGCATTGAACTTCAACCCCAAAGTCTTGACCTCCGCCTGAACCCAGTTCGGCCTTCAAATTAGATAAAAACAGCGACGAGACGCACAACTCGTGCCCGCAATCCTCGCCCTTACACAAACACGTGGGAAATAAACCAGCAACCTCAAAATGTTTCCTGTTGCGCATTTTATCCTCGTTCCGGTAACAAAAATATGTGCAGAGAGGCATAACCTGAGGCCACATCAAAACGTAACGTGGCCACAAAACTACGGTATTTGTGACCTACAGGGCAATGGTTGTAGTGTGTGTATGGTTTAAATGCCACGTAACGTTACTCTCACAAGGCAACTTTAAGCATTACGGTACACGTACTGCCGGCCCGAAGCAATATCCCGTGGACTATTGCATACAACATATGAATGGATTCGCCTGCAACAGTTTTTTGTTACCGTTTTAAAAGAATATTGCAAAACAATTGTTCGTACAATTAAACCTCGGCTTGAATGTGGCACAAGATTGTGGTTTTTTTCACCTTTATCGATAGTGGCCATATCGGGCATAAGATTAAACTTTCTTTAAGCAACGTATCCAACCTACGATTACTTTATCATTAAAGACAACGTATACCAAATGGTGTGAACACACACCTACATTTACGTGACTTGAAAGCGTCCTTTAACACAAAAAAATACTGACCACTTAACATCCAAGCTGCCAACTGTACGTGAACACACCGAAGAAGCATTTTATAAGGGGACACGCGCCAACCACAAAAAGACCACCACAAACACCGCCCCAAAGCCCTCCCGAGATCAACTCGCAGGCATCGCCGGACCAAGCAACGCCCGACAGTGACCACGTCGAGAGGTTTTTTTTTGTTTGAAACATTCGGGCAACGAGCGCAGAGCGGGCGAGGTCGCGGCGCACCCCCCTCCCTCCTCCCTCCTCCTCCCCCTCCGTCCCTCCTCCTCCCCGGGTCGAGGCATCTAGGCAAGCGCGGTGTTCTTCGAGGCCTCGCGGCGGCCGACTAGGCCTCGACACCCGACCGGCTCAAAACGTACGACGGCGAAACACCGCGGCGCGACGGAGAATGGATACTGAGGGTGAGCATCTTGGAGTGGTAGTCGAAGGCGAGCACCTCGCCGTGGATCTTCTGCCCGAGGCACGTCACGCACGCCACCTGGCTCCCGACGCTAAAGTAGTCATTGGGAGCCGCCATTTTGACTGGAGGCGGCGGCGAAGAGGCGGTGACGTCACGAGCGGGGGTGGGGGGTGCTAGAGGGGAGGGGGGAGGGGCGGTGGCGGCAGTGGGCGGAGGGAGGTCACGGGGGTCACCCGTTTAAATTCGTTCACTGGACTCACTCAGACAATCCTTAGACGCGACGTTTCGGCCAAGGGCCCTTATTCAGAGCACGTAAAAAGAGAGGGGCGGAGCAGAGAATGTTTTGAGATTGCACTGCACACCGCGGGGCCTGATGAGAATTACATTTAAGATTTTTAAAACAACTTTCAAAACGAAGAGTTTATAATTGGTATATTAATCGTGACCGAAGAGTAGTTGTTGAATAACAGAGAAACCCTTCAATAATTAAAAGTGTATGACGAAGCATTAGCATACCGTGTGAACCCATACGGTTTACCCCGTCTTCTTGTGCAGGAAAATTGCGTTTTCAGGTCCATACGGCGTACAGCCGTTTCAATACTGGCACAGAAAAATATATTTATTTGTATTTCTCCCTTGTGATGGGACTTTGTAGGATGAACATTGAGATGTATTCGGGCACGGGGTGACCAATAAGGTCCTGAATTGGTCTGTAATAAGGTAGGGCACTAATGAAGGGTCGACATGTATGGGTTATTATAATAAATATTGCTGACATTGCATTATAGGTGGCCAGTTTATTTAAAAATGTCATGAATAAAATACTCCCGGAATGCCTTTCGGCTAATGGGTACAAAAAAGTATGTGGAGGGACAGAAATATGAAGGTGCATAGTCTGTCTATTTTCTTTTATACTCTACACTGTATTCTTATTCATTCTTTGGGTCAGTTGGTTTTTCATTCATTGAGTTGGTCGGACGTTTAGTTACTCATTCGTAGGGATATGTAGACATTCAATTGGGCGTTTAGTTGTTCATTCGAAGGGATATTTAGACATTCAATTGGGCGTTTAGTTACTCATTCGTAGGGATATGTAGACATTCAATTGGGCGTTTAGTTACTCATTCGTAGGGATATGTAGACATTCAATTGGGCGTTTAGTTACTCATTCGTAGGGATATGTAGACATTTAATTGGGCGTTTAGTTTTTCATTCTCTCTTTGGATCATTTAATTCGGCAATTGATCATTTGCTTGTCATGTTGGGCTATTCAGTTCCTCATTCATTGCGTGATTGAATTGGTGTACGGGTCATCGAGTTAATATACCCATATATATTTGTTTTTGTGTTCATTTGGTCGTTTAGTTGTACAGGGTGGGCCATGAGGAACTACCTGATTTGAAATAGCGGTATTTTGTGTTAAATTATTTCTTTATTTTGCTGCACAAATAAAGTATAAGCCGAGGCGTTTATGATGAACCGGTTTTACACCTCAGCAACGTGCAATAATAGTTTAAATTTATTTCAGAAACAATTGTTCAACTCCGCACCGTATTGGGGCGTTGATTTCCCAAATTCGGAAATCGGTAACAACGGTGAATGCAAAGCGGTGTTGGCAGACCTAGAGCCAGTCGATCTCCGACTTCTTGGGAGCAAGCAAGGGAGATTGTGTCAATGAGAAAAGTAAGGGAGAGTGATGGAAAATGCCGTTGAAAGAGCACGGATTTGCCAACGTAATGCAGGCGGTCATTTACAAGATATTACTTTTTGTCCGTAATTATATCGAATCTCCACGAATTAAATAATGTTCTATCGTTTAGAGTTTGTGTTTTTATTTTATTTTCAAAAGTTATAGGCTAAACAAATCAGGTAGATACGTATGGTCCACTCTGTACATTCACTTATTTAGTGACTATGATTTTATAGTATTAATTTGATCATTTAATCAGTTGGAAATTCATCAGTTAACTCATTCAATAATTTATTGATTAATTCGGTTGGTCATAGAGTTAGCCGTTCGTTTCGATAACTTTTGAATTTGGTAATGTATTTAATCTTTCATCTTGTTAATTGCATAATAATTTATTTAATACTTTATCTGTTAATTTATGTATTCCATTCATTTGAGTATGCATTTAATTGACAATGAATTGCGTCACTAAATGTACAGTATGGTTCATTTAACGTGTGTTCAATCGTTTCTTTGGTCGTTAATTTACCTATTCATGCATTCACGTAATCGTCTAGAAACTCGTGAGATGCTCGTATAGAGCGCTTGTTTATTTTAGCGTGTGCCTTTGAGATCCGTGATTTCGTAGAGATTGTAGAGTTCGTAGAGATTGTAGAGTTCGAGCTTGCAGACTTCGGCAGTCTGCTCATTGCATCATCCCTCTCAACATGAAACGTTGGACCAACGTGCCCGGTCAACGTTGGGCCAACGTTGCATATTGACTGGGATTAGCTTCCCCGGGATGGCGGGGGGCTGACGAGGGGGGTGACGTGAACGCTCATCCATTACCACCCCCTATCCCCTTCCGCTTATTCATTCGTCCACAATTTATTTTAATCGTGCTCATTCTCTCAATCCTTCACCACTCGTGCATTAATCTCATCGTCACCACCATCACCACCGTCACCCATGATCTATCCACTGTTGGATGAAGGCCTTCTGTTCCAGGCCGTCGCCATCTCTCGTGATCTCACAATGGAAATAATCCACCCAGCAGCTGCACAGGAGCTCGGGCGCATTCCCTCCTTGGACTGACACTCCCACATTAGTCTCGACCATCAGCCATCATCCCTCTTGTAGCGACTTGTCCTGCCCCAAGCACCACTTACTTTCTTTCAGTCCATGAGTTCTTTAATTGTTCTTTAAGTGCCTCCGAAACGTAGTGATTTAATGTAGTTGTTTTCATTTATTTTATTTTACCTACGTGACTTTACCGAAAAAAACAAAGAGTATGTGGCTGCTATACATTTCCACATGATAAGCCACTTCGTTGAGCTATAAGTTGTGGTCAGGTCGCTTCTAAAAAAGAGTTATACAGCTTAGTGGGCCTTACCTGGTAAAATAAAAAATAAAAATTTAGTTTAGTTCTGGTTGCACATTCCCCATGCCTCTCTGCACATGTTTCAGATTATGCTCAGTTTTCTTTGGCAATGTCCACGCATCTGATCCATAGACCACATCACAGCAAATGATGTATACTGTATATTGATTACAAACTTCCCTTTGATGGGACAATGGGTAATTAACTTTCCATTACTCACAAACCCACACGATGATTTACATATTTCATTCCTGGCACTGTGTTCCATATACGACCACACTGCTATGCCAACTGATCTCATCTATAGGTTGGAAGACACTGAAAACGTAACTTGACACTGGAATAGTTCTTTATTGTGCGTCGTTTTATGTTATTTTAATAGAACCAGAGTCTCATCCATTGCAGAGGCATTCTCTCATACAATACAGAACCACTGTTTTATTCAATAAGAAACCACTGTTTAACTAAATAAGAAACCACTGTTTAATTCAATAAGAACCATTCTCAAGCATCAATACATCACCATTGTCTCATCCGATCCACAGAATTGCCTTAATCCAAGTTTGAACCATTCATTGTGTTATCATTAAATTTCGTGCCTTCGTCTTATTCTATGACAAACCGTCACCTCACTATTAAAGGATAATTTAATTGTCCCAAACAATATAAAATCAGTGTCTCATCCATTATAAAACAACCATTGTCTCATACTACAGAACGAGGATACCTCACAATTTTGCACCAGTATTCATCCAAAACAAAAGCATGATCTCATCCAATAAAGAACCCTTATCTTATCCATTACAGAACCATTACCGAATCAAATACAGGACCCTTATAATGTTACACAAGTTTACGGGTGGTTCTCAACAGATTTCAACATTTACCAGTTTAATGATTGTCATTATCGCCACCTATGAAGGTCCACTCAACCCATCATCCTGCCAGGTTGATTAAACCAGGCACCAGGTTGCACCCGGTGTCGCTCACAGCTCATCCTTGAGAAGCTGCAGGGCCCGATTCATAGACTTGTAGACTAGGAGACACGCACAACCGACAGAGATTTCATCGCCATCACCAACTTAATCATCACCAACTTTATCATCACCAACTTTATCATCATCATCACCAACTTTATCATCATCAATAGCATTACTCAATTAGGATTACACATGGAATTCTTCTCTACCTACTGGCAGGCTGATACCAGATTGCAGGCCACGTGCTAAAACACCTTATTCTGCAAAGGGATAGCTGCCACTGGGGGTGCCCCTTCAAATGTTTGTGAGTAGTGGATACAGTCAGATTTGCAAATGAATCATCTTAAATAAATACGTAAATAAGCGATTAAATACACGAACATTATTATGATACAAAAATAAAAATTGGATATAATGGACAGAAAGTACATTAAAAATGAATATTAAAGTATTAAATCATTGTTTATAAATTAACCTACCTTACATTATGATGATGCTGCACTTTAGCATCACCGTCACTTTACCCCGTCACTTTACCTCGTCACTTTACCTCGTCACTTTACCTCGTCACTTTACCTCGTCACTTTACCTCATCACTTTACCTCGTCAATTTACCTCATAACTTTGCCTCGTCACTTTACCTCATCACTTTACCTCATCACTTTACCTCGTCACTTTATCTCATCACTTTACCTCGTCACTTTACCTCATCACTTTACCTCATCACTTTGCCTCATCACTTTATCTCGTCACTTTACCTCATCACTTTACCTCGTCACTTTACCTCATCACTTTATCTCGTCACTTTACCTCGTCACTTTACCTCGTCAATTTGCCTCGTCACTTTACCTCATCACTTTATCTCATCACTTTACCTCGTCACTTTACCTCATCACTTTACCTCGTCACTTTACCTCATCACTTTACCTCGTCACTTTACCTCGTCACTTTACCTCATCACTTTGCCTCATCACTTTATCTCGTCACTTTACCTCATCACTTTATCTCATCACTTTACCTCGTCACTTTATCTCGTCACTTTACCTCGTCACTTTGCCTCGTCAATTTGCCTCGTCACTTTACCTCATCACTTTATCTCATCACTTTACCTCGTCACTTTACCTCATCACTTTACCTCGTCACTTTACCTCGTCACATTACCTCATCACTTTACCTCGTCACTTTACCTCATCACTTTACCTCGTCACTTTATCTCGTCACTTTACCTCGTCATTTTACCTCGTCACTTTACCTCATCACTTTTCCTCGTCACTTTGTCTCGTCACTTTACCTCGTCACTTTACCTCGTCACTTTACCTCGTCACTTTATCTCATCACTTTACCTCATCACTTTACCTCGTCACTTTATCTCATCACTTTGCCTCGTCACTTTACCTCGTCACTTTACCTCGTCACTTAACCTCATCACTTTACCTCATCACTTTACCTCATCACTTTACCTCATCACTTTACCTCATCACTTTATCTCGTCACTTTACCTCGTCACTTTACCTCATCACTTTACCTCGTCACTTTACCTCGTCACTTCATCTCGTCACTTTACCTCGTCACTTTACCTCGTCACTTTACCTCATCACTTTACCTCATCACTTTATCTCGTCACTTTATCTCATCACTTTACCTCGTCACTTTACCTCATCACTTTACCTCATCACTTTACCTCGTCACTTTACCTCATCACTTTTCCTCGTCACGTTATCTCGTCACTTTACCTCGTCACTTTACCTCGTCACTTTGCCTCGTCACTTTACCTCATCACTTTATCTCATCACTTTACCTCGTCACTTTACCTCATCACTTTATCTCGTCACTTTACCTCGTCACTTTACCTCGTCAATTTGCCTCGTCACTTTACCTCATCACTTTATCTCATCACTTTACCTCGTCACTTTACCTCATCACTTTACCTCGTCACTTTACCTCATCACTTTACCTCGTCACTTTACCTCGTCACTTTACCTCATCACTTTGCCTCATCACTTTATCTCGTCACTTTACCTCATCACTTTATCTCATCACTTTACCTCGTCACTTTATCTCGTCACTTTACCTCGTCACTTTGCCTCGTCAATTTGCCTCGTCACTTTACCTCATCACTTTATCTCATCACTTTACCTCGTCACTTTACCTCATCACTTTACCTCGTCACTTTACCTCGTCACATTACCTCATCACTTTACCTCGTCACTTTACCTCATCACTTTACCTCGTCACTTTATCTCGTCACTTTACCTCGTCATTTTACCTCGTCACTTTACCTCATCACTTTTCCTCGTCACTTTGTCTCGTCACTTTACCTCGTCACTTTACCTCGTCACTTTACCTCGTCACTTTATCTCATCACTTTACCTCATCACTTTACCTCATCACTTTATCTCGTCACTTTACCTCGTCACTTTACCTCATCACTTTACCTCGTCACTTTACCTCGTCACTTCATCTCGTCACTTTACCTCGTCACTTTACCTCGTCACTTTACCTCATCACTTTACCTCATCACTTTATCTCGTCACTTTATCTCATCACTTTACCTCGTCACTTTACCTCATCACTTTACCTCATCACTTTACCTCGTCACTTTACCTCATCACTTTTCCTCGTCACGTTATCTCGTCACTTTACCTCGTCACTTTACCTCGTCACTTTGCCTCGTCACTTTACCTCATCACTTTATCTCATCACTTTACCTCGTCACTTTACCTCATCACTTTACCTCATCACTTTATCTCGTCACTTTACCTCGTCACTTTACCTCGTCACTTTACCTCGTCACTTTACCTCATCACTTTACCTCGTCACTTTACCTCATCACTTTACCTCGTCACTTTACCTCGTCACTTTACCTCGTCACTTTATCTCGTTACTTTACCTCATCACTTTACCTCGTCACTTTACCTCGTCACTTTACCTCGTCACTTTACCTCGTCACTTTATCTCATCACTTTACCTCGTCACTTTACCTCATCACTTTACCTCGTCACTTTACCTCGTCACTTTACCTCGTCACTTTACCTCGTCACTTTACCTCATCACTTTACCTCGTCACTTAATCTCGTCACTTTACCACGTTCGCCAATGACGGGAAGAAACACCGTACACTATTTCCATGTTCAGTCTCCGTGTATCCGCGTGCGTCGCACTCCAGTCTCGGGTACCACCACGAGCGCCACTCACGTAGGTCCACGTCTGCCGCGTGGTAGAGGTACAGGTGGTTGGAGTATCTGCCCGTGATGTCACCTCGCACGGTCCACGATGGGTCTGCGGCATAGTCGGCGAAGGTGTGCAGGTGAGCGGGGTGAACGTGAAGATGTTGTGGACAGGTGAGCAGACGTGGTGGTGTCACGGGATGAGGTTACCACGGGGGTGGCTGCACACACTCCCGATAATGTCACGGTGTGCCACAAACGTGACGCCGATTGTTTTGCTATCGCTGTCACTTGGTGAAGACGAACCCTTCGTGTGAGGGGACGCTCCGTGGAAGCCAAGACGACAGAGCCGCCTCTGGGAACCCTTCGAGTCTAGATTTGAAGCTTTCGTGACTGCTAGGATCCATACTCTTTGGTGCTATTGGGTAAAGTCACAACCCTTCGAGTGCCCTGGTCTACACAGCAGAGGGCAGCACTTGCTCATCCGTGAAAGCGATGGCCGCTCTACTCTTTGGTTTTGTCGGTAAAGTCGCGTAGGTAAAAATCTATAAAATAAAAGACAACTAAATTAAATAACGACGTTTCGGAGGCAACACAAGCCTCCGTCTTCAGGTCGAAACCATCACAGCAGAATTGCTGTATCTATACATAGATATACATAGATACAGCAATTTTGCTGTGACGGTTTTATTGATTTTTACCTACTTGACTTTACCGAAAAAAAAACAAAGAGTATGAATCCTTGCAGTCACGAAAGCTTAAAATCTAGAATCGATGGTCACTGCTTGAGATAGGGAAACCCAAATATTTAATTCTCAGACCCGAAAATGACCGAAATTAAGAGTCCAACCAAATGTAATGTAATGTTGTTTGTGTGTGTGTGGAATCATTGGTGAGCGGACACCTCACTCCACTTGAGAACCCACTTAGATCATGGTCGACTCATACTGGGATTGTGACCCAGTGATGCCCACTCAGTGGTTCTGCACCTTTGAGCCACCCAGCTGCCTCACTCCCTTCCTCCCTCATCATGCAGGCCTTATTTTAAAGAGGGTCCTGGTTGGGGATGTTTGGCCAATTCATTTCTCCAGCATGGCTTTTTTTCATAATACATGTTTTTTTTGGGTTAGATGGCATAAGTTTCAATGTGTTACAGACACGTGCTTGTCTCGGTGAATGCCACGCATCGCCATGGCATAGCGCTCAGATTCCGCACAAGTGGGGCTGTAACCTACTTGCTGTACTACCGGCACCATTGCAGGTGAGGGGTCAAAGACAAAGCCCCCCCGTATAGTCTGAACAGACGATTGGGGCAAGTGCCGTTAAGGAGCACCTATGATTGGCCGGAACGTATGTTGAACTTCTTTCACACCGCACGTAGCCAACTGTGCTAATCAGAGGTTCGAAACAGCACACGAGGAGGTGGATAGCCAGCACCATGCCCCGCCGCCTTTGTCTCCCCAGTGGCGATGTTCACACACCGCACCAGCTACTCATTTGAGGCTGAGTCGAACTAGCGGAGGCCCAGGACCGGTTCAGATAATCGTCACCGGTGGTGGCCGCAAGCGAGGATCGAACTCGGTTCGTAGCACGGCGTAGCGCTAACCGCTGTGCCAACTCTCTCTACTCACACACGCATGCACACGCACGCTAACTGCTGCACAACTCTCTCTACTCACACACGCATGCACACGCACGCTAACCGCTACGCCAACTCTCTCTACTCACACACGCATGCACACGCACGCTAACTGCTGCACAACTCTCTCTACTCACACACGCATGCACACGCACGCTGACCGCTGTGCCAACTCTCTCTACTCACGCATGCACACGCACGCTAACTGCTGTGCCAACTCTCTCCCCTCACACACGCATGCACACGCACGCTAACTGCTGCACCAACTCTCTCTACTCATACACGCATGCACGCACGCGCACGTGCGTGTGCATGCGCGCGTGCGTGCGTGCGTGTGCACGCAGCGGCTCCATCCTTCCATGATCCACCAGCCCCCCGTGGTTCTACACGCACACCCCGTCTCAGGTTAGGGATCTCACCCACAAACATGATCCTGGGAACGTAGCGACCGTCCGGAGCCAGGTTCTGATCGTTGGGCTCGGCCTGTAGAGACATTGGAATGAAATGTTGAAACGAGATGAAGGGTGCAGCCCTGCAATTGCCCGCTCACGACGCTGCTGGCGGAACGGCCCCTCTAGAGGGAGCTCCACAACAGTGGGGCTCATCATTGTTTTGGCTGCTGTACCCACATTGTTCGATTTAGTTTCAACTGAGTATAACCCCACCTTGCCTGGCCCCAACATCGTTCTGAGAAATAAACGTATGAATAATGAGCATCAATATTATAACCACGTGTCCATTGTGGTGAGGTATCCTAACTTGCTAGTAACTTGTAAGCGAACAAAAACAATTTAAACGGACGCTCTGCACGCATGCCCTAATTTGTTCATAGAATACGATCAATTAACAAATTACGATCATTGAGCAAGGCATTTTCGACCGTTCTAGGTGACCACGTTGATTTAAATGTCATCGTCGTTATTTTATGTTGGTAGATTCATGACAGCGTGATAATTATTCACCAATGACTCTCACGTGCCATATTATTTCACACATTTTATCAATCACCTCACGTAACCACCCAGGGGTCCGCGTAACCCCACCCCCCGATTGAGAAGCACTGCTCTAGAGGAGCCCTCTATGGAGAGTCGATTCCGTTTAACCACGGTGAGGGACCCCGAGAGACCAGCATTCGCAGGCGTGACCACGTGCCACCGAACTGACAATAGCCACGCGAATGGGACAAAGCACTGCATTGAATCGAACAGAAATCGGAGCCGAAAACAACTGTCACGTGATACGTTTAAATTATTGCACGAACATAATTCGATGCTGAATTGTGCATCCCCCCCCCCGCGGTGTGAGTCGACTGAGCCAGTTCACAAGTAAACTCGCAGTTGATTTACAGAAGCGTTGAGCGGATACAGGGTGACTATCGTACGAATGCAACTATTCACCCGTGGTGCATCACGGTGAGGGGAGTAGAGCCAGTTGCGCATAAGGGCAGCAGCAGACAGGGGGAGGGGAGGGAGGGTCGGTATGTGCGTCCCCAAGACGGATAAAGAGGAGGAGGGCACGGCTCAAGATGGGCAGCAGAAAGGGAGGAAGAGAAAATGGGGATGAAGATGAGAGTTGAGGGAAGAGAGGAAAGAAGAGAGAAGGAAGGCAGGAGCAGAAGTGAGCTGCACAGAGGAGCAGCAGCGTCTGTTTTCACAGTGGGCGGGGAGAAGAGAGGGATTCAAAGTGCGGGTGGTCACACAGAAGTCACGTGCTTTACGGGAGGATTGAGTTGCTTTCGATATATTGCTGTGTAAACGGGCAAGGATACTCTACGGAGTGCTTCAAAAAATACGTTAACACTTTTAAGAATGTGCACCAACACCACGTGACATGTGCTACTGCCTCCTGACTCTGGACAGCACCTGGAGAAGATTCCAGGCTACGTGTTGACAATGATGGTGAACAAGTGGAGATTCTTTGACTTTTTGAAGCTATTTGTTATCATTTCATAGTGCATCATCCGTTCTTTTTTCAATTTTAAACGACAGTCCCATGTAAGTGGAAACATATTATTGGAGCATCGTGTGTGTGTATATATATAAACTGCAACTGAAAGTCGTCATCATCAAGAATCGTCGACAGCTTGGCATCAAACTGTGAGCTCCCCGGCTCGGGTGACCTACTCGAACGTTGAGGCAGATAAAGTTCTCGGAGGCGAGCTTCTGAATGCCTCTGTGTTGACTCATCCTGGTGCGCAATTCTGCACGCGACCACAGACCGGACCAACAACCAATGCGTGGCATTTACCGGTATGCATTTGCCGCTTCCGTTACCTTGCAGATATAAATACTGCAATGCGTTAATGGACACGATCGCTCCCCGGTACACGAAACAAATACAAAGATATCCAGATAGCCTTTAAAAGACTGCAGGGGCAAGTGCTTGTAAGCGAGCACCTATAAAGGCCGGCACGGCACACGAGGGGGTGGGTGGACAGCACCACGCCCGGCCGTCTTTGTCTCCCCAGTGGCGATGTTTACACATCGCACCGGGTACTCATTTGAGGCTGAGTTTACATAGGAGAGGCCCAGGACCAGTTCAGATCATTGTTACTGGTGTTGCCAGGTTCGTAGCACAGTGCGCTAACCGCTAAATTACCGCTCCCAACAAGAGACAAAGACACACACATTCATGTATATATACATGTATGTGTATATATACATGTATATATACACATACATGTATATATAACAAACGCCGTTCACCACGAAGTGGCGGTGACGTCACCGCGGTGCTTGTGCCAGGCTAGGTGCACTTTGAGGCCACGTGAAGTGTCGAAGGCCCGCTGGCAGGAGGTCACACAACGGACCCAGTCGCCATGGGTCGAATGAGATGACTGTCAGATGCACCAACTGTGCTCCCCCACTACGCAGACTAGCTATCTGCGCTTTAGCTGCCCGGCGTTGTTGTGAGCGTCGCTCCTCTGGCCTTCCGCTGTTGCTGGAGAACGACGGCTGCCTCCAACTTCCCCCGCACGCAACGTCCATCACGAACCTCCTCGGCAGAGGCCGATCTCGACACTGCCGCTAACCGGTCCATCGGCAAGTCCCATCAGCTCCCACGTCCTTCCGTGGCGCAAGCTCACCTTTACTGTAGGGGCAGGTTTCCAGCCAGATGATGAGCATGAGCGGCTGCCTCCTGTGGGGCACGCGTTGCGGGCGTCAGAGCAACACGTTTATTTATCTTTCATCACCGCCATCGAACTCCGTTCGTCAAGGAGCATTAAAGAAAACGGCGACGTGAACTCCGGCCATCGTCGCGCCAAGCGGCCCATCGGACAAAGGCGGGCGCCGCATCGAGCGATTTCACATCGCGCTTCTGCGGCCGTCTGGAACGTTCTTCGTTCCGAGATTAGGACGCCACTGAAGAGCTTTGCACTTTTAAAACATCTAGAATGAAAGCTCATTTCTTTATAACTGTTTTTTGTGTGTTTAGTGTTGTTGTCCTTCTCCCCTGCACCTCCGATTAGCACGGTTGGCTACGTACGGTGCGAAATAAGTTCAACATACATGCGAAATAAGTTCAACATACATACACATACATACATTCGTGCGTTGTACACAAACGCAACACGTTCGTCAATAACACCGTGTGACCTTAAAATGGAAAATGTATGTAAAAACAATACTTTTTTTACTATTTTAATTTTACCAGGTAAGTACCACTGAGCGATGTAGCTATTTTTCAGAAGCGACCTGGCCACGAATGAAAATTCAACAAAGTGGCTTATCGTGTGGAAATGTATAGCAGCCTAATACTCTAAACGCGTGATGTTGATTGTAAATGTGGAGGGGAAAAAACGGAGGACCTGGAGACATATCCACGCGACCACGAGGAGAGAGACACACCAGGTCGGGATCGAACCCACGACCTCCTGTATACCAGGCGAGGTAGTTAACATCTCCTAGCCACCGCAGCGCCATTCCCACACTGCAGCATAGCAACCCGTCATGCGATCTCCTTCCACGTGTTTCAATTTCTATTCAAATACCAACAGCAAAAACACCGTATGCAACACATTCGTCGATGAGGACTTTAAAGGAAACAGAAATATAATAGGTGACGTTTCAGGCATTCCCTAATTACATCTTAACTATCTCGCCTGGTATACAGGAGGTCGTGGGTTCGATGTTAACTATCTCGCCTGGTATACAGGAGGTCGTGGGTTCGATCCCGACCCTAACGCCTGCTGCTGCTGTATATTTTGAGTTTGCGTGTCTCTCTCTCTCATCATCATCACACTGGCTAGGATATGTTAACTACCTCGCCTGGTTTACAGGAGTTCGTGGGTTCGATTCCGACCCTAACGCCTGCTGCTGCTGTATATTTTGAGTTTGCGTCTTTCTCTCTTCCCGTGGTCGCGTGGTTTTGTCTGCGGGTTCTCCAGTTTTTTCCTCCACATTTAGAATCCAACATCACGCGTCTAGAGCATTTGGCTGCTATACATTTCCACACGATAATCCATTTCGTTTAACTATCCTTTATGGCCCAGCTCGCTTCTAAAAATATCTATATAGCTCAATTGGCCTTACCTGGTCAAATAAAAACAATAGTTTAGGTTAGTAATGATATATAATCCATAAGACAGCTTTTTTTTTGGGTTAGATCACAGAAATATGAATATGTCGTTAACTCCGCCACCACCCGACACAGCCAATTGGTAAGGTTTGTAAATAAACATGCAAATTCGTTACTAGTACAGCACACCGGTGTGTTGGGGGGTACATCCACAACATTTACAATCTGAGAATGTCGTTTCCCAAGTAATTCCAACTAGCTTCATCAGGCGACAGCCAGATTTGTGGAGAAGTCCACCTGTTTCGTTCCTTAAATAGAGGGATAGATTTCGATTTACAGCTTTCGTGCCTGCAGGGATTCATCTTCTTACCGAGAGAACCAAGAAGAAGAGGGATACATGTGACGACATCACTTGTGAGTCTTTTTTTTTCAATTGGCATGTTTCGAGTGGTGGCTGGTTTAACGCCACATTTATATTTACGCGATCTAACCCCTCCCAAAAACCCACTGTATTATGGATGATATTGATCGCAAAAGCCTACTGCGTGTTAAAATGAGCTATGAGATGTGTGGAAGTCATCAGAGTGTACGCACGTCTCTTTGGCTCTCAGAAGGCCCTCTTCATAAGTCTGAACCCACTCGATGTCATTTCCCCAGCCTGCAGGGCACAGCAGAACACACAAGCCAAACCATTCCGTCAATGAGTGCAATTATAACAACACCATGCACCGACTGGCCGTGATATCACCACAGCGTGTGTGCCATGCTAGGTGCACTTCGAGGTTGTCACGGAAAGTGTGGAAGGATCGCTGCTGGCAGGAGGCTATTGGACAAACTCATGTGCTGTGGGTTGACTGACTGAGAATACCGGCAGATGCACCGCCTGTACTCCCCAATGCGCCAACTCGTTGTGTTGTATCCACCCGGTGCTCCGCTCGTTGTTGTGAGCGTCGTTCCTCCGCTCTCTGCTGTTGTTGGAGGGCGACTGCCTCCAACTGGCCAGTAGCAGCGTCCTTCATGAACCTCATCCTCATGGACCGCATCAGTCCACCTCTTCCCAAGCCCGTGCCGCGCCCATTTCGCCCCCTCTTTTCGGCCAAACAGAAGCTGCTTGGGCATGTGATGGCTGCGCATGCGGGCTATGTGGCCCAGCCAACACAACACGAGACTCAAAGCATTGGATAACTTTAGGCTGAGCCTGCCCTATGAGTGAAACCAGACTACACGATCAGAATATTTTTTGAGGGTCCAAATCGTAATTTGTTTTCACTTTTGTTTTGTTAAAAGTATATATCACATTACACGTGTGCTAACTATCAACCATATCGTCCTCATGGAACATAAGTGGAGCTTACATCAGCCACTCAGTCACAATAAGCATTTAAATCTGGGCACAGCGTATACAACATAGGGTAATCCATTTAGAGGCAACCCCGTTTATTTCAAACGACCCACTTGACTTTATGAAACTATATTCTTGGTTCTTTCGGTAAAGTCACGTAGAAGGGAAACAATAAAAGAATAAAAATATAAAACAAAATTTTCTTCATAATAAAATGTTATTGCTGTGGTTTTCACACCTGATGATGATTGCTTGTGTTGCAGTCGAAACGTCGTGATAATTTTATTGTTTTATATTTTTATTATTTTATTGTTTCCCTTCTACGTGGTGACTTTACCGAAAGAACCAAGAATATGAATCCCTGCAGTCACGAAAGCTTTAAATCATAATTTATTAAACTAATAAATTTTATTTTACCAGGTAAGGCCCACAAAGCTATATAATAGCTTTTTTCAGAAGCGACCTGGCCACAAGTAATAGTTCAACAAAGTGGCTTATCACGTGGAAATATATAGCAGCCAAATACCCTAAACGCGTGATGTTGATTTTAAATGAGGAGGGAAAAACCGGAGGACCCGGAAAAAAATCCAGGTGACAGAGAGACACCGCGAACTGCAAATAAAGAGTTGTTCGTGTCGGGATCGAACGCGCGACCTCCTGTGTACAAGGTGAGGTAGTTAACATCTCGCGATCGTAGCACGCCCCCTTGAACATCTGTTAACAAGAGCTGCATAGCTCATCGGCTTCCTCCAGTATGAATACATATTCAGATTCTCATTCTGAGCTGATTAGATATTGCAAAAATGTCTTAGCCTTTCACGACCAATAGTATGATTCACAATAATTAGATCATTTTGAGGTTCGATCACTGTGCTTAGGCACTGTATGTGATGCCAAGCTGAGATTTGTGTTTTATTAATAGCTGATGATGACGATGATTCATGTAGAATTGTTAACAGCCTTACGTTTTTTTAATGATAAACCAATTGGCGTGTTCGCCCAACGTGGCATCTTGATTTGATTGAAACTAAATGGACATTATACCTACACGACGACATAAGCCACAATTAAAATATGTCTCAAATGTTCTGAGAAGTGCCGGCTATGGGAAAACAGCGTCACACACCGTCACATTTCCACCACCTATTATACAGACATGTACTGTGTGTATATATAGTATATATAGACACGTGCGTTTATATGATAGATATTGGCTGCTATCAATTTTCACATAAGCCACCTCGTTGAGCCTTCATTTTTTGCCAGGTAGCTTTTGAAAAAAAAGCTGCATAGCTCCGCGGGGCCTTACCTGGTAAATAAAAATAAATAGTTTGTAGTAATTTATAGTTTATAGATTGTTTGTAGACTGCCAGTACCGGAATCCAACGTCCTCTGGACCCTGCCTTCTCCGACGCACGCGACCGCGCACAGGAGCGTGGCTGCTGCCAGGAGCGACGTCATGGTCCCTGGCACAGCGAGAGACACAGAGAGAGACACACAGAGAAAGACCGAGAGAGAGACACATACACAGAGAGACACACGCAGAGAGAGACACAGAGAAACACACAGAGAAAGACCGAGAGAGAGACACACACAGAGACACTGAGACAGAGAGACACAGGCAGAGAGAGACACAGAGAGAGACACACAGACAGAGACAGAGATTAAGGGCCAGTACATGGGACCTCCACTTAAATACGAGGCACGGGGCCCAATGGAGAGACGCCAGGTGGCCGGGTTCTCCGTGCAAACAACACTCAGGCTCGCTGGCCGCGTGGAGGAGGCAGATGAGCACACAAAGCCCCTCGTTAGGGCCGGGGGGGCCCTCGGGATAGCCGGATGTGGTCCATCACTTGGGCCGATGACAGAGAGCGGTGCGGTTCGCAATTGTTAAGCAGTGCGGTTCACAAATGTTTCTGGACGATCGGGCCGCTGCCATACCCTGCAAAACTAAATCTGTTATTGGGGGGGGGGGGTATCATGCGCCAATGAAAATGTTTATAAACGGTACTCCAAACCAGTGCCGGCGGTCGGCAGAGTCCGGCAATATCCGGGCAGTGGCGACGAGACACAACAGCAGTCGATGTTTAGTAGTGCCACGGTACAATTTAGCGATTCACTTCGCACGAACATTGCACACCACCGCCAGAGAGGTACAAGAGGAGCCCAGGACGGGAGCCACTGCTCTAGAGGACGATGCCGTCCGTCCGAACGCCGGGTCTGTCATCCGGCGCTTTGGCGGTGAGGGTTGGTGGGTCACGCACAGATTTGTGAGACTCCCAAACCCGCTGGGCTGCTGCGTCGGTGGCAAGGCAGCGCAAGCAAAAGTGTTGTCCGTGAAAACTGCCCTCCCTCCCTCTCTCTGTGGGGAGCTTTCAGTGTTGATTCCCTTGTATGCCTGGTGGATTTGCTCTGCAGGCTAACACAGTCGCAAACTCACGAGCTAAAGAATAACGTTTGAATCGGCGTATGTCGCCCTATCTGCTGCATGCGACCGCGTGGGTCATAAAATTTGAACAATGGCGAATAGAGAATGGCGCAAAAAAGAGCTGAAGAGTGAGCAAGGCAGCGCTGGGAGCGAGATACCATGCTCGGAGTTGGTGACCCGTCCGTACTGGACACCTGTGAAAAAAAGGGGGCTTCATAGCTCACCGGATTCCTTCTGTCTATTTAAAGATTCTTGATTCCGAATTGCACGGTGAAAGAGAAAGTGGAAGGCATGGATCGCGGAATACGCAGAAATGCAGGTGAGAGAGGTGATCGCCTTGAGTGTTAAAGGCGGCCGGGCGTGGTGCTGGCCCCCCACCCCCTCTTCATGGGTGCTACTCGCTAACAGCACTTTCCCCAAAAGTCTAAATTTAAAACGAATTTCTTAGATTGAAAGCTCATTTCTTTAGACCTGCTGTCTGCGTGTGTGTTAGTTTTCCTCCCGCATCCCCCATGAGCGCGGTTGGTCAAGTACGTGCGAGAGAGACAGAGAGAATACCAACTTCAACGTACATAGAGGTCTGTTCAGGCGATATCATTGTCTGAGGAGCGTCAAGCGGGCTGGCTTGGGCAGGACAACAGCGTCACGGCCGCAAGGGCCGACCGCGAGTCAGCGAGACTGAAGGGCGGGCGGTGGAAGCCAGATGCGGGATCGCGCACAGAGAGGGCGTCCGCTGTCGGAGATTGAGCGACGAGGTCAGCTCCAGCTGCAGGGAGCTCGGGGGGGGGGGGGGGGGGCTGGGGGGTCTTCGTCCAGCAGTGGATTGATCACGGCTGACGATTCGAGTTTTGCTCGTTTGAAAAGTAATCCGCCAAACATCTGAACGCGGGAGGCAATTGTAACCCCGTTCGCAGTGACCGTTCTCATATGCCGCACACGTGATATAGGTAAGGCAGTGAGACATGTTTGACAAGAAAAAATCACCGCCACGACTCTTGCACATCGCTAGTTCGGTGCGCTAAACATGACGAAATCGTCACACGCGCATGCCAGTGCCAGACGTGGCCTCAGGCACGTCTGGCACTGTCATGCGCGTTTGACGATTTTTTATTAATTATTTTTTTGGCGTTATTTTTTTATATATACCGGGTTTCCGAAAATGAATATATATATCAATAATGAAGTTTAATAGTTGTATTTTTATTGGATTACCGACGTGAATGTCACGTGAATGTTTGCATTCGACTCGGGTTCGCAACTTTAGGCCGTAGGGGCTCAGTCGGACACAGGGGGACCCCGGATGAACAGATAAACAAGTAACACAAATGTGAAGGATTTTGTTGTTGTTAAATGTTTAATTACAAATTATCTGCGGCGTACCATGGACCAAGCCCGATTAACGCGTCTGGCCATCGTTTCCGTAGAGCAGCAGAACGTTGTGCGATCCATAGCTATTTCAGCAGAAGGGCATTCAGTCTGTGGGAGCCTTTAACGTTGAGGTCTTGGGAGCCTTTAACATTGAAGACTATGGGAGCGTTTAACATTGAAGTCTATGGGAGCCTTGAACATTGAAGTATATGGGAGCCTTTAACATTCAGTCTATGGGAGCCTTTAACATTGAAGTCTATGGGAGCCTTTAACATTGAAGTATATTGGAGCCTTTAACATTCAGTCTATGGGAGCCTTTAACATTGAAGTCTATGGGAGCCTTGAACATTGAAGTATATTGGAGCCTTTAACATTCAGTCTATGGGAGCCTTTAACATTGAAGTCTATGGGAGCCTTTAACATTCAGTCTATGGGAGCCTTTAACATTGAAGTCTATGGGAGCCTTTAACATTCAGTCTATAGAAGCCTTTAACATTGAAGTCTACGGGAGCCTTCAACAGAAACAAGTGTAATAGGCTGACGTTTCAGGCAATCGTCCTTCAGAGAGTAGAGAAAGGGGGTGGAGAGGGGGTGGTTGGTCTCACGACCCGGCGCAGACGTCACTCGCCACCGATGTTAGCCGCGGCCGCGAATCAGACTCAGGTGTCGAGTTCCCATAGCGCAGTGCGCTAACCACACGTGCCACCCATCCACGCCACTTGATAAACATCGCCCTGGCAGGTTCAACGGACTGGCCCGGCGTTGGTGGCTCTGCTGCACGCGGCCGCCTGTAATCCAGCACTCTGTGGAGGCACCAGTGCGGGTTGGTGGGTGCGGAGGAGATGTCATATCCCTGGACTCGTCAGGAGAAGGCCGTGCAGCAAGTAGACTGATCGCCATCTGTTTCCATCTGTACGGAGCGTTCGCGTGGGTTTTCTGTGAGTGCTTCGGTGTGCCTCTCGCATAATATCTGAATGTACGTTGCACTTCTTTCACACCCGTACGTGCTAATCGGAGGTGCGGGTTAAAAACGACAAACTAAACACACACACAAAATCACAACTCATCATTAATCGGCTCTAAACATCTCGGCGGGACCCTCCTGAAAAAGAATCACACGACCGCTTCTGGATAAAATTGATTCATTCATCCGGTTCTCAACAGCGTTGAACAGCAATCGCAGCGCTCTCTCGCGGACTCAGAGCGAACAGCAGCCTCATAGCAGCAGCAGCAGCTGGCATGCTCGGAGCGCGATCGCAGTTCTCGTGATGCCGCGTTGATGAGCAGTGGCGCACAAGCAGCAAGTTCAAGAAGCTCAACACATTTGTCAACAACACTGTGGCCCTAAACATTCTTTGTATATGTACGTATGAAACAGACGACGTTTCTGACAATGCACTTTATCTCGGATGTGCCACGCAGATGGACTATTGCTGGCGAACGTCGCGAATTTGATATCCGGTTGTCATGTTTAGCGCAGTGTTAGTGACGGATGTGGTGAGTTCTTGCGACAAGCTGTCAGTCGGGGTGTAACTATTACACCAACCCCCGTCCACCACACCCACCAACCCCCGACGATTCGATTACAATTGACGTGATTTCAATCATAACAAACGATGAATTGGAATTTACTTGGTTTTTGTATATAGCATAGTCTATTACGTCTCGTGTTCTTCCGCTGTCTGTCTCGGTTAGACAATTCGACGATATGCCAATGCAGCAATATCTACCATACGCTGGCGCGGCGAGCGATGGCGCAGCTGTTAGCGCACTGCGCCATTGGAACCCGTCCATGGTTAACATCAGCGGCTCGGGGTATCCGAACTGGTCGAGACGAATGTTGGAAATTTCCTGCGGGTTCATTTCATGCGTAGTAATTTCACGACCATTATTCACGACTCGTAACACGTTTATTTTGAGGGTCGATCATTGTGCACGCTGGTATAATTCTAATTAGTTTAACTATAACCCAAGGCCGTAATTATAATATATATTTGGGGGGACACATCCCCCCAATATTAAAATATGCTCAAAATGTCCCCCCCAATATATTGCTATAAAATAGATTTCTGTTTATATGGTTGTGGTTATGGTTGTGCTTTATTAATCCCTAATCGCTGCCATTACATACAATGAAACAAGAAAAGGTAAAAAGTAAAATAAAAAAACAGAGCAATGTAATACAATACACTATTAGACATTGTTGTAAAAAATAAACAAGTCCATCCTATGTGTTAGTGAATTTTAGTAATATTTTAGGCAGGAAATGGCAGGAAATTCGGTTTCAAATTTAGATTTTTTTTCTGGTGGGGGGGGGGGGGGGATCCCCAGACCCCCTGGAAGACTTGATCCCCCCAATGTTGACTCCATGGCTACGACCTTGCTATAACCTCTCCACCACCCGATAGATTTAATAAAATGAAAACTTATTTTTTACTTAAATGAAAACTTTTTTTTTACTTAAGCTAAACTAAACTAGTTTTTATTTTACCAGGCCAATGAAGTTGACACGTGGATAAACGTGCCAACTGAATTGGTTTATTAAAAAAGAAATAAAAAAAAGCTGCATAGCTCTTCTGTCTATTTAAAGATTCTTGATTCCGAATTGCACGGTGAGAGAGAAAGTGGAAGGCATGGATCGGGGTAGAGGCAGGTTGGAGAGGAGATCGCATTGAGTGTTAAAGTCGGCCGGACGTGGTGTTGGTCACCACCCCCTCGTGTGCCGTGCCGGCCTTCATAGCT